TTGTGGTCGATGCCGGATTTGACCGTCAACATCGCGACATTCTTTTAGGGTGGTTATTTTAAATTATTAGTTAAAGGGATTTGGAGTCGCGCAATGCGCAGGGTGGAAAGGCGTTTTGATTGGCCGCATGGCGGCATGGCTTTGGCATAGTGAGTGGTGCGCGCGGCAGCCGCGGGGGGGACCCGGCCCCTCGCGTAATGGGTGCCAAGGTTCGGCAGCCACAGGTTCGGCGTGGATAGGGCAAGGCGTTGGCTTGGGGCGTTTCAGTGCGACAGTGCAGCAGACGGAACCCGTTTATATGGGCTTCCGCTAATGCCAATGCCAGCCTTGGGCATAACACTATTGGTTACGGCATTGGACTTTCAAAGCAGAGGTATGGGGATCGAGGGCGGCGACTGGCGACGATGGAGCATTGGAGCGGTTGAAGATGCCGAGGGGTTGAAGGCCCGACGGGGCTATCCCCCTTGGTTTTGTTGCCGGCCCATCCGTGGGTCTGGTCGACGAAACTGAGAGGGGCAACGAGGGCCTCCCTTCCCCAAAGCACCGATTCCCGTTTGTTCGTTTTTTTTTCCGTTTTTTCTATTTTAGCTGCCGGTCCAGTTTCTGGAACGCGGCACCGGTGTTGGTACCAACAATGTTTGCGGGGACCAGCAGGCCTGGCTCAATTGACGCATCCATGAAGTGTTGAAACACAGGCCGAGGAGTTCAACGTGCATGTGAGTCGGCGGGCGACTAGCCCACGTAGCGGAAAAACCTGAGTGGCGGGACCCTCTGCGCATGCACCGTCCGTTGCCCACGATCTGCTGTGAAAGGATTGAGAGTGAGCATGCTCGGTTGGGACCCAGAAGATGGTGAACCGTGCCTGGGCGCAGCGGGCGGGGCACCAGGGCGGACGCCGCAGCTATTCACTTGGAGCCCTTCTCCACTTCGGTCTTCAAAAGTCCAATTTGGATATTTGCTAGTACCACCAAGATCTGCACCAAGGCCCTCTTCACCTGAGCTCATGCAACAGGCTTCACAGCAGGCCCTGCGCCGTCCTACTCATGGCGGAGTCGGAATCGCCACGATGGTCAAGCATAGGTAGCGCGCCGGAGCACCCTCCATTGTCGAGGCTGAATGATTCGGCAGGCGATTTGTTACAGACTCTTTAGTGGATCTCGACTTCCATGACTACCGTCGTGTTGTCTGTATCATTTGACATCCTTTGCTGTGTCTGGGCTAGCGCGCAGTTTTGGCACCGACAAGGGCCAGAGGCGCTGAGGAGAAGGTGCACAACAATACTGTAGTGCAAATCCGGGGTCGCAGTGTGAGCATGCCCATAGGGACCCGCAGATGGTGGACTATGCCTGAGCCGGGGCGAAGGCTCGCAGCGATACTATATTGCAAATTTTGGGTTGAAGTGTGACTACGCCTGTGCAGGGCAGGCCAGGGTCGCTGTGGTGGGACACACAGCGAAACCGCCGTGCAAATCGTTCGTCGGACGAGGTATAGCGCGAAAGGCTAGTCGAGGCAGCTCGTAGCTGGCTTTCTCCGAAGCTTCCCTTGAGACAGCCGGAGCTGCTCTGAGTGCTACCCGACCGTTGTGGGATCGGCCGCTACCGAGGAGCTGCGTTAGCGTCGGAAGAGGTGAGGACAGGGGGACGGCCATTGAGACGAGGTAGGAGGAGAAAGGAAACAGGAAGGCGGAGGCAGCGAATGCAGGGAAGGACGAAATGAACTTGGCGCGAATCCGCGCCAGATGCATCCAAGAAGGAGATGGTGAAAGGTAAGATGAGCAGAGCGGAAAACATATAACTTGACTCATTCTTGATGAAATCGGTCGAGGAAAGATACTGAACAAAGATTTTTGGGCAAGGCGAGTGTAATGGTGGTGTTAGTTTTAGTGTTAGATTAGTAGAGAGAAAAGTACGTGCACGAAGGGGTCGAAAGGAAGGATATGGTGGGAGTAAGAAACGTAGAACTCACTCCATTCTTTGTGAAATCGGGTGAAATAAAGCTATAAGTAGGGGTTTTGGGGTATTGCGAATTTGATGGTGCTGTTAGTTTTACCTGTAGGTTAGTGGTTTCAATGGGGTAAGTGTTAGGGGCTGTGCGCGGATGGGAGGATTAGAAGTGGGAAACATCGAGCGGTCGGTGGCGGACAGCGGGCGGAGCAAGTGCAACACACACACACACACACACACACACACACACACACACACACACACAGAGAGAGAGAGAGAGAGAGAGAGAGAGAGAGAGAGAGAGAGAGAGA